TCCGTGCTCCTCCCCTGGCAGTTGCATTTGCCTTTGCTTGAACGCTAATAGCGGCACTGGGGCCGCACTTGGTGACGGGGACGCTGTCCAGCCTGGTTCCTTGGGTGGAATGCGTGGATAAGCAGATTTGTGTCCGTGTGATTTCGGTAGCGGGGTGCCTGACTTGCCACGGGGCAGCCTGTGGTGCGGTGGGAACTGAACGTGCGTCTGGATGCCCAGATTGCATGGGCCGAGGCCCTGCAGGAGGTTGTTGCGGTCCTCGAGCTGAGACTAGACGAGGCGGAAGCAGAGCTGGAGGAAGCGAAAATGGCGAACGAAATCCTCAGGGAGACGCCAAGGGCGTCGCCCCCAACAACCCCGATCGCCGGAAGGTTGGGCGCCTCACCTGCGCGCCAGTGTTTTCTTCCGCTACCTCTGGAGGGCTCAGTGCTTTCGCTTTGTCTGGAGGGCAAGTATATATTAGGGAGCCCTTCCTGATGCTGTTGCTATGTTGGTTCACCTGTGACAAAACTGTGTCCTGTTGAAAGGGCCAACGGCTCCACATCGCTCAAGTCACTGGTCGACCAGCTGCAGGCATCCAAAATTCAGGAGGCCAGGCGACATGACAAAGAAAAATCGATCCAGGTTAGTGCTTCTTTTCCTGCTGGCCTCTGCTGAGACAACTCCATACAACCATAGGAGGAATGGATAAAGCGTGTGCTGGAGCATAACTGGGAATGCAGCAATAGCATCAGCAGGTCAACTGCCACCTGACCTATTTGTGCCCTCAGCATGAACTTGCTCAAGCAAGAGAAGAGGCTGCCCAATATGGTGACGAAGTGCAGCGGGTGAAGGAGGAAAATGCCCGGTTGCGAGCGGAACTGCAGGTGGAAAAATCGCACACACAGCAGATGATCGCCCAGACCTCGGAGTTGCAGAGCCTCTGGGGCGAATACACAACAAGTCAGCAGCTGCTGGAGCAACAACTTCAAGAGGTGCGTGCCTGAGTGTGACAACATCTATCGGATTCATTTTGCATTGTGCATCAATCTCGTGGATATTGCATGTGAGCTGTTTCATTGCCCATGGAGGATATCTGTGGGTGCTGGGTGATAGCAATATGGTGCATTGTCGATTCACTGAACATTTATCTTGTCTCACTGCAATTTACTAACAACACTTTGTAGAAATCAGATGACACGCAGGGAGGCAGAAGAAAGGGCACGTGTTGAGGAACTGGAGAGTCTCTTGAGCGAGACTAATGCCTCTCCAACTGACGATGACAAGGTTGGTACACTGGCTTCATGTGGTGGGCATTGGCTGTAAAGAATGTTGTCAGGAATGGAACTATTCAAGGTGAATTTCAAGGACTAGAATGTCAGGCTGACATCATCCTCAATTTAAGCAAGATTCTGAATCTGGGTGGTGTAGCCCAAATTGAAGCCTTCTTAGCTGCTTTATGATGTGCCAAGCAACACATCTGTCCTGGTCCCTGTTGCCCATACCAAGGTGAGAGTGCGATTGGTGAACCTAGCATCAGTACCATGCAGACCAACAGCTTCATAAAAGAGCAATCACAGTATGTTCTTTTCGTCTGTGACAGGGTCCTTTTCCACAACTTCCCTCACTGTGGCATCCATGAAAATAAACCATCTAGAAATTGCATCTGCTTGAGATGATTCATGAGTTGGGCAGTTTGCCATGGGCAGCACAGAGCTGGTGCCATAGGCTAGGTGGGGCGATGGACAATGCCTGCCCATGAACGACTGGCTGGCATATGATTCTAAGCAGTTGTGCTGTGTCCCCATGCCCATGAGTTTGACAACTGGGTTGTGTGCCTCCTATTGCACAGGTCCAGTGGCTGGAGCAGGCAGTTGCCGATGCCCAGGCAACAGCCATTGAGGAACGCAACCAGGCTGCAAAACTATGCGATGAGAATCAAGCCCTTCATTTGGAACTTAAAAAGGTACCCATTTAGCTCTCCACACTCTTGCACCTTGCACAGTGCATTTGCCATAGCAGAAGGCCATGGCATGCCAAGCAGCATAGCCCAGTTAAAGCATATGATGAAAGGTAAACAAGCCAGTCAGCAGGTGCAAAGTTATATATGCAACAGTTAAATTTGCAGGCCAACTTTGCAGTACACTGCGTTAACCATGCCCCTTTTAAACACTGTATGTGGACCCCAAAGTACACAATGGTTGTATTGATTGCTAGCTGCCATTCTTTTGTGAAACTTGCAGTGTATGCATCTCTGGCTACCACCAGACAACCACCAAATATTAAATTGCAGATCCTATAATGCGCTCCCCCATAGGCAAACTTAACAGTATGTTCTGCGAGGTGTTGCAATTGCAGCCAACTGTCCTAGAAATGACTCAACGAAAGTCGTGTGTGATAGTGATATGGGGCATTTGTGTCCTTTGCACTGGCAGCCCATTTCTTGGGAATGTGCTCCCCATTTGGTGGGTTGCTTGCAGCACTTCTTGTGCTGGGGTACAATACATTGCGTAAAGTTGAAACAGCTGAATCCTCAATGAATTGGGCCTCCAACCAAAAAACTGGCTGCAACTGCTGGCTGTGGGCACACGTGAAAAACAGGCTGAATGTACACAAATGGGGCCCCCACAACAAACAAGTTTTATAGTCATGTTTGCAGGACAGGTGTTTGGCAGCATGCAGTGTAGCAGTGTGCTTGCTGCGTGTTTCACATTCGAAATGAAATAGGTTTGAGAATGTGCCGTCATTTTGATCTTGGCCTGCGCTGCAGATGCAGCAACTGCTGCAGACAACAAATGGTGCCAGTCCATCTACAGGTGAGGAAAGCGCAGTTGCCATCCTCAGAATGCTTCTATTTCCTTTTGCATGGAATGCTGTTCGGTTATAGGCACCAAGATTTGATTGGTGTGCAAGAGGGCACGCACATAGTATGGTGGTGAATGGTCCCCATGTTCAATCCAGGTCCGAATTTTTGATTGACATTCACCCAAAGGAACTCTTTGTTTCAACTGCCTCTACAGTGTGTACTTGTTGTGCGGAAAACAGGAGTGGACTTGTCGTCTGGCTACAACACAGAGAGGGCCAGTCTTGGAGGCGAGACCTCGAAGCACATGAGGGACACTTGTTCCACGCTGGTGGAGTTGAGGTGAACTGCGAGCAATTATGCCCTGTGATGTGTTGGGGCCAGAGTTGACCAGGTCGCACGTCGATTGCAAGATCGTGTTACGATCTCCTTTGGATGTTATTCCTGTAAGAGTAGCACTTGTTTCTGGATGTAGCTGTTTTGGGGGCCCCTCTGTTGTGTATTGTCAGCTCCTTTGCCACGCACATCCATAATTTCACAACCCCATTGGCGGACCTGCACACAAATCCACATCCCAATGGTGAGATGTGCACACTCCATTTCTCATATGCTTCCCTTGTCTGTTTGCACATGTTTGCTAGTTTTGGTTTTTTATTATGGGGACTTGGGCCGATTTGAAACGAAGTTGATGAGCTCCAGATGTTCTAACGACGGCGTTGTCGTTGCGAAATGTCTGCTGATGCTGATGAAGTGCGCTGCGCGCACAGCTTGTCATAACACAGATAATAATCACCCAAAATACAGTCTGCAAGCGCGCAGAGAACAACCCTCAAATATATATGCAACAGTCCTTGTGCCTATGCTTGTGTGGCTTTTGCCTGCTGTGGCGGTGCATTCCTGTTGCTCATAGTGAAACTCAGTCATGATAGTAGGTGGCGCACCCTGTCCATTTATTTGCAAATCCATCTGGACATTTGGGCACTTGGCTCTGCCAGCACCATCCTACATCGAATGGGATTTGCCCACTGTGCGTTCATTGCATGACGAACAGCTGTGTTGTGTGATGAACAGGGATCTGGTTCTGAGGATGGCAGAGCACCAGAATTCATCGCAAAGCCCCATCGCTGTGGCTCTTGGCTCTGCACATGCACGAGGCCTCCAAGACTACGGGAAAGGAACAGTTCCACGTGAGCTACTGGCACACAGTGTAAAGGTGCGGAATGCAGGCACGCTCGCAAGCTTGGCTCAGGCACTAAATTCGATGCAATCGAGTTTGTGACAAAGAACAGTGTTGTCAGCTTGGTATAGGCGCACTACTGAGGCATGTTATGTGAAGGCATATGGTCAAGAGGACCTGTGTACTGGTCTTGTGGTTACTCTTGCTCTGCTATGCTAACCTGCAATGTTCTCCTCTATCCTTTCTGAGTCTTGAAGCCAGCAGAGTGCAACATTTGCACTGCTATTGACGCAGCAGACGTTGCTTTTGAACTTTTGGGGCATAATAAGGCGTGCATTTCACCACAGTGTGCTCACACCCTTGTGTGCATGGTGTGCATAGACAATCAACACAACTGTTGACCAGCTTGCACATTTGATTGGATGCGAGGGCCTGGGGTCAGTGAACATGAGACACAAGCACAGCCACAGTCTGTCCAATGGCATGTCCTCTTCCAGACTCAGTGACGTTTGGGGCACGTAACTGCTCGATTGGGCTTCGTGCTGCAACCACAGCAAGAGGAGCCATGCAGCACGATGCATTGTCCAGTTGTGTGCAACCGAATCGGCAAGTTGATGTATCTGCTGCACTCAAGCGCAACAGGCACTGTCAGAAAATGAGGCTGCATCGGGATTTTCACGTTCCAGGAAACTGCATCACATTGGGTTGGGACATGGCAAACAATACTGTAGTCTGAGGGCAGCGCTGTTGGGAACCACGAACTTGCTGACAGAGAAGCAGAAGCCCTGCTGACCGACGTGGTTGTGGGCCCAGAATAAACACATCCTTGAGCTATCTTTGGGACTGAATGGCAGCTGCAGGTGTGTGATCCGCAGCGCCGCTTCAGAACCCCATGGGCTGAGGGATTGCAGGGCGCAACTCTGTTGCAAGGGGTGCTGCTGTCAATGGATGCCTGCCAGAAGGCCGCTGGGCCACCGACGTGCGCTTTGATAATAGTCGAAAAGCATGTGTCAAATTGATGCAGGCACGCTCCAAGAGGACCTTGTCTCTCACTGGGTTCGTAATTCTTGTGTGCTTCCACCACAGAAGCAAGGGTGTGTATCCAGGTGGGAATTCATAACGTGTGAGTAATGGGAATGACTTGTGTGACTCCCAGGGATCAACCTTCAAATTCTAAGAGAACTGTGTTGTATTTCTGGTGGGGCAATGACTGGGCTGCCTGGATTTGTTGGCAGCAATGGTTCTTGTATTTGCAACACGTGGTGTAAAAAGACATACTTCACACAAGGCAAGTTGCACACTCCCAATGATGGCTACGGTTGCACAGCTGTTATACGGCCACTTCCTGTCCTTGTTGTCCACCGAAGGTGACATTTTCTGATCCCCAAGTTCCCTGCTGTGTCAATGGGATCTCCACAACATGTTGGGAACCGAAGTCACCTTTCAGTGTATGCTGCTGCTGTTGTGGGCCAATCGCACTGTGGGGCGCAGGGCGGAAGCATTGGTTGTTTGGGAATATGGAGTCATGCAGGACACTGCCTTCGAAGTTCAGTGGCGTGATTTGTCGCGTTTTTCACAAATGTAGTCAAAAAGTGTTGGAAGTCGCCATTCTCTCAATTGCTGTCCTCATTCACAACAGAAAATCACCCATGAGTGCTACTTCTGGACATACAGTGTCAGCGTCATTGCAGCACTGTAAAAGACGAACGACAGGAGAGCATTGATCAGCGCTTATTCTTGCTGCAGGATGACCATACTCTGGGATATGTCAGCAGTGGTGACTTGCAACAATGGCCTCAGATATCAATTCGATATCTGGTACAGGCAGACATCATGCAATTCCTTTGGGTTCAGGGGGTTGATCCACAACAGTCCAGTGTGGGGCGTTTGTGGCAGAAAGACCCCGCGTCACTGGCGGTAGCAGCAGGGCGACAGGCGACTGTTGTCCATTTGAAGCACTGGGTAATCGGAAGCAACATTGGTCAAACCCAATAGCAGCAGTTTCATTTCGTTCATCCTCACAACGAATAATCCAGAACCCATTCGCCCCTGCACTTCGAAGTTTGTCGCTATCAACATACATACATATCATACAATGGGCACGCTGCCCAGGAACCTCAACAAGAATTGCCAGAATTCAAACACCTGGAGAAGGTGCACAGCCAATCAAGAAGCCGCCCATCCCAAGTTAATATGTGTTGCCCAGCATTCCTCACAATCCCAAGGTAGTGACCGTCTGTGCGTGCGCGGCGCAGCCCCGCGAGCCAGATCAGTACACTGGCCCCACTGGTCCAGCGAGCCTCACTCGTAGTTCACCAAGGGGGTTCCGTATGGCATGCACATGGTCCACTTCAAGCGCGACCAGCTCCCCATCTTCACTTTGTTCGACTCCATGCTGAAGAAGGGCCCCTTGCGAAACGTCCACGACCCCTTGGAGCCGTCCCCCTTGTGGCGCCTCTTCACGCCCAGCAGCGGCTTCGGCAGAATCCGGGGCACGCGGAACCTGCTGATGCTCATCGTCCACACTGCGGCCACACCAAACGCGTCAGGGCGGCCGTGACTGACGCTCACCGGCGCCGCCGCTCCAGCGTCGCCAGTCCTCACAGGCCTACAGGTTCCGCCCTCGACGCGGTACAGCGACGAAAGCACTACGAGCGGGCGCGGCGAGCAACTGGAAACGCCACGTTTTCCAGCGCCAGGCGCGCCTAGACACGGTCGCCAGCGGCCGCCGGGCGGACACTGGCAGAATGGCACGATGGCATAGGCGCAGACCTTGCAAGCCCCAGGGCCCCTAACGCCAGCGAGGGTCCTACAAGCCGTCCCAAGGGTCAAGGGTAGCATCCTGCGTGGAGGCTGCCGTACCTGCTCGCCGCCTTGGGAGGAGCGCCGACGCGCGGTCGACCACAAAGGGGCGCTCAGTCCAGGCGAGGCCCAGGACCTGTGGGGGGAAGCGGCGGGCGGCGGATAATGCCCCCTTTCCACCGGGGCGCAGCAGAACAAGGCGGATCGATGGTGGGCGCCGAGCGAATTCGGCCCCGTTATGTACACACGGAGATCGCAGGGCCGTCATCTCCAATTGCTGCATCTCGCAGGGACCGACTGCTCACCGCGCCAGTGACAGACTGGTGGCGGTGATGGGGCCAACATCTCGAATCGACAGAATTCATGCCAACGACTGGCGGTAGTTTGCACCCTCGTGAAGCCCTCTTGGCGTCCCCCCAGCAGCACGTTGCAGCTGTTGCGGTCAGGTCCGAATTGTGACGGCGGCTGGGGTCTGCCGGGACGCAGACGCCCTCAACGCGAGAGCATGAACTCCAGATTGCACAAGCCGATCGAAACACCGCGCGAGTGTGTCTTCGCGTGTTTCCGAGTTGAGTATTTTCTCACACATCAAAGACGCACAGAAAAGGAAGTACGAAGTCAGAATTCCGTGTGATGACGGCTGTGCCACACTTCTTGATGCCGTGCATTGCGCACTTGTAGGGGACGAAGCGACAGTGGTTCTGTCACCTGCGAGTGCTGACATTGGGGATGGTTTGGTCACCCTTGACGTCAAGCTCGGACGCGGCGTCCCACCCCATCGCCAGTCCTTGCGTCGACGACCCATCACAGGATGCAAACGGATCGCCCATCCAATGTCGGAATCCTGGCAGTGCGTCCAGTCGCCAATGTGTCATCATCGAGAAATCCTACATATCGAGGCGAGGTGGCAGCCATTGGCTCCCTATTCCGCCTGATCAAAGCAGCGTCCATGACTTCTTCCACGTAACCTCAATGTATTGCCACGATCCAACCACTGAGTTGCTGCGCATCCTATGTGTCTCCTAGGTACATGCATGTAACATCACATGATGTAATCGGAAGTGATGATCCAGTTCAATAGACAACAGTCGGTAGCGAGGCTGGAGCGCGTGTTGCAGGCGCTGCACCGGCTGTAGAGATGGCGCAATGCAAATTTTGTCCATTTCATGCACGACGTGCAGTTGTGCTGGCAGTTCACGATTGTTGTGGTGTAACCCTGGGGGCAAAGGACCAGTTGGGCACTCTTCCATTGCACTCCAACTGAAGGACTTGCACAGCCAGCGCTTGTCCATCCGTGGCAGTGGTGTATTCTTCTGGGGTAAGCCCACAAAGCTCCAGGCTTCTGAACCCCGACGGTGGAGGGTCGGGGTGGCGTTCCTCCTGGAGCTGGAAGGTGTCGACGTGCTGTCGTTGATCGTGTACCCGATCCAAAGATTGCCGTGGATACCATGGCATTGCGTGGAAAAAGACACACGACATCTAGAATCCACGAAGTCTGAAATTCAAACTTCTCCAGCCCTCTTGAGGAAGATCCGGGTATGTCGGAGATCAAGCCGTGGAGGGCGTACCAGGTTGTCCGCGTACACCTCGTGCTATTCCTGCCTTGAAAGGAAGGGACGGCGTAAACGGATGATGGATGGAGACCTGAAGATGCCCTGACAGACTTTCACAAGGACATATGAGCCGCGGAACCGCCCACCATACGGATCGATCTCAGGAGTGACAAACTTGTACGCGTACAGGTTTGCCACTCGGAAGATCGATCTCCTGAGTGGATAGCGTGTATCAGCTGCCAGACCTTGCAGCAGGTCTGGACCGTCAAAAGGGTGGAGAAATGCGACCTGTGAGATTCACCCCAACAGTGGCCATTGCCTCAACATGAATATTTCATGTATGAGATGTCCATGTCAGGCGTCGGGAGGAGAGTCGCGCGCGCGTCGTTCTTCTGGGGCGCGTCAATAAGATGGTTACATGATTGCCTTCGCCAGAGGCACCCCGAAATCCGGATGTAGGATGCCGTGGCAGGGTGTGCGCGCTGGCCGCAAGTGCATTCCACAGAGTTGAGGGATCTGGCCCACGGTTCTAACGGGGATGCACAGGGCTGCATAGTGTTAAGGACTCGCGGCCCTTGTGGATCCATCTGGAACAGTTGGTGTATGAAGGGAAGGTGCTCTATCTTGCCTTTTGGTATACAAAACATCAACCATGTTGATGGTCGGCTTGGGACGTGCCCTCTGCAAATGCAGCGAGGGAGTTTGCAATCAGGAGGCGCGTTATCCCTCACCTCTGAATAGCAAATCAGCGTTGGGGTTGTGGATCAGCGTACATTGGTTATCTGCAGTTTGTGTTGGCGTCCTTGGGTTGCCTCGATGTTTAGTTGATATCTCTGCGTCTCTGTACTCTATTCATGAGTTTTCTGACTAGAGACGTGGGTGGGAGGCGAGAACACGTCAGCGGCCTTGACGGGGGACACCCTGGCCGTCGTCCGCACCTTAAGGTCCGAGGACAGCGAATGATCACGGGCCAAATAGTTTGTATTCGGGCTTCCTTAGGGGAGCCACGGTTTGGCGTTTACACGGGATATGCTGGCGCGCTTTGGGGGCGGTGGGTGCCGCCTATTTATGGTGGCGCCCAAAGGCCGTCTTCATCCTGTTTTGGGCTCCCGCCTGCCCATCCCTAGGTGTGTGGGTACGGTTGGAAGGTGGAATTTGTGAAGTGCA